GTTATTTTAAACTGTGGTGTCAGTTTTAGACTTGAATTTCACTACATATGCATCTGTGATGTCCACACAATAAGATTTGTGGACAGTTATGTGTTTAACTTTGAGCCTTTCCACACGGGGAGCAATTTCTGTTGAAAACGGTGAGGATATTAAAAACATCTATGAGAGGCGAAGTGGTAGGTGAGGCTGAAAGTGGCACTTTCGTGTTTAAAATGTCTATAAAATCAATATCATGCGTTTAGCTATTCAAGGAAGTGATGAGTAATAAAAATATATTTTTTAAAAAACAACCAAATATCAGAGATTCAGATCATGTTTGTAACAGGTAACAAAACAAAACAAAAAAAACCCCTCAAATTATAGTGTAATTAGAAATGATGCGAAATTAAATAACAATATCAAGGAAATGGCTTTAGTTTTAATGTAAATGGAGTGTTATCTACATAAAATAAAAATGAAATATTTTATATAAAAATATAAAATAAAATAGTATTTTAATAATAGATCATTTTGAATAATAATAATAATAATAATAATAATAATAATAATAATAATAATAATAATAATAGAGATGTTTTTTTCAATTATGTTATCCATTTTTTCGGCTGATGCCGTGGTGTCTGCCTTAGGCATCTCTGCTTAGACCGCTGCCCCCATTACACAGACAAGTGGTAGAAAATAGGTGGATGGATGAATATCATGATGATATCTTTGATCACTTAATTCAGTCATTTAAAAAAAATAAGCTTCAACATAATTTTTAGAGATTATAGCATACTTTAATATTATCACATGAAATTCTTTAGTTTGTGTTTCATCCTGTGAGATTTAAGTCATCATTGGTGATCTCCCAAACCCTAACCTCACGCTGTCGGAATGTGTATTTTTTATTTATTTTTTTTTTTTTAAAAAATATTTAGAAATGTGATTTTTTTTATATTAAAAATATAAAAAAATTATTATTAATCAAAATAAAAATAAAAATGTACATATAATACAAAACTATGATACAATTAATTATTTATTAAAGATTATAATTTAAAACTATTTTACCTCTTGACCATCACATCAAATGTGCTTTTGCACCAAAGTTTTTGCTTGTTACATGTTTTTTACTCGTAGATTTTTTTTTTCAAGGAAATAACAGGTTCAGAATCCCTAAGGAAATTATGTTAACTTCATACTGTTGTTTGTTTCCATTTACACACAGCCTAAAAGACTCACGCTTTTAGGGACTTAATAAGTCCACTGCGAAAAGTGAGAAAATAAGATTATTTTTCCAATTCCTTTGTTGTAGTTAACGCTAGTCCTCTCATTTATTCATGTTCAGTCTTTCTCTACCACCCCGGCTTTTTTACAGTCTTGCTGTTTTAAAATTGAATATGGATTAACCAAATGACTCGCATGGACTGTCTAAAATGCCTCAGTGGGGTTCCTAAAGTTCATGGACTTTTACAAATGTCCATTTCCTGCGCAAAGACAAACAATTTCCCTTTAACTTATTTTAGTTCCTACCATAGAAGTCCCATACATTGCACATCTCTATTGCTGCCGTCTTGTTCAGGGAACTGAGTATGGGTTTTGCGTCATTCTTATATTAAATGACAAACTCTGTTCTGCTTTTGGATATTCCAATGAAGGGAACACTACAAGAAAGAAACGGGGAATAAAATTTCACAAGTAAGAAGTTGTTTTACAGTATTTTACAGTTACATGTTACACTAGGTAATACTTTCTTTGAATATCCTTACACTTTCACTGACAAGACATTGAGCTATATTACATAGACAGAATTATAATATTAATTTGTGAACATTTTAATATAGAACTGATACTACTGAGATTCATGTTACTTTGTGTGTTTCGGTAGATAGATTTGGTTTGCAGAGTTGAGTCATCTGTCCTTACATGCACAATTTTCAAAACACAGACAGAAATAAAATACAACACTCTGCCAAAAAATGAAATCATACAAGATGTACAAGCTAAGATTTGTTCCTCTGAATGATGTCTGCTGAAACAAAGTTATTTTTACACTGTGTTGTTCTACACTAAGCCTGTCCAGAAGGAAGAAACTGAAAGTCGCTCTAAAAAGGGTGTGAGCTGTTAAGTAAAATCAAACCAGCTAACTGCTGTAACTGTCTGGTATGTGGTGTCCAGCTGTCGCTCACCAATCAGCATAATTTGACTGAGTGAATTGCAGATTCAATTTAAAAAAAAGTGTGATAAAATCATGGACATAACCGCTGTGAATTCTTCCACTGGTTTTAAACCTCAACATTAGTCTTTTAGCCTTTGCCATGTTGGTTTTTGAGCCAGGAATGACTATCTGTGGATGAGACAGTGGCCTCCTAAATTATTGGTTAGCATTTTTCATCCATAAACTGTGCAGGTGTAACAAACACATACATACCAACTATTTTGTACATAATAAAATTATTTAATTTCACTTACCAAAACCAAAGCATGATTTTTAATGTTGTAAAGTTTGGCATTTATCATGGTAAAGTTTGGGGCTTGACACACTTTTATAGACAGCCTCAAGTGGCCATTAAAGCAACTGAAGTTTTTGGTAACTTAGTGTTAACTATCAGCTTTGGAAACTGCTGCTTGAAAGAAAAAATAGGGTCTTCATATGGAAGTCTACTCAAATATATCAGAAACCTATTTCTCCTGTTTGCTAATGGTCTCACACTTTGCTTCAAAGTTCAGTTTGAACTGTTAAAATAAGTATTTAGATAAAACTTGCATTTTAAATGTAACTGGATCTTATTTCAGGTGGTGGAAAAGTAGTGAAAAAAATCTGTAAATTATTATCATTTTTAACTATGTAGAGAACAGTGCCTCCAAAGGAATACATGCATTAGGAAGCCCAGATACACCTGAGCAATGCGGTAGATGCTTACTTCCAATTGATAGCAGCAACCAGTGCAGTATCTATATTTATATATTTGTCTTGAAATACACTCCAAAGCATCCTAGTCTCAGGGAGAAGTTCCTGCGGTGGAAAATCATTGCTGCTTAGAAAACAGAAATATTTCCTGTCTTTGTAGGCCAAAGTTTAAAAACTGAAATTTACATTTCATTCTTCTCATGTCATGGCATATTGATGATTTTGAAAATTCCAGTGGAGTCTCACATGTCTCTATGTTTGTTCACGGACAGGTGAGAATGCCATTGTAATTGTGGCCGGTGCCAACATGCTGCTGGGTGCAGAGGAGCTACAGGAAGCTCTCCCAGCCATCAGCCACACAAAAGTCCTGGTATGCCAGCTGGAGATCAGTCCTCAGACGTCCCTGCAGGCGATGTGCATGGCTCGCGACAACAAAGGTGAGTCAGTATATCCTCCTCACATGTTTCTGAAGTCAGAAAATAAATCATTTACGAGCACCTTTTGCATGCTGAGATTTCAAAGATTTGGAAATCCGCAGTACATGTTTACTCAGTATGATGTATCCAAACTATTATACAGAACAAAGAGTAAACCTAGTTTAGTAACACAATAGTCATAAAACCTCTCCCCAAAACAAAAAACAGAGGGTGTGGTTATTGTGGACTCATGTTGTTAGAATAGATCCTGGTAGTCCAAAGAAATACCAAAATGTCTGTGGAATCTTCTCAAACTACTTGTGCAATACAATCCACTTCACGGAGGCCATCTGTGTGCTCGCTATGTTCCAAACCTTCATAATTTTGCCAAAAATATGACTATATAACCGCTTCTGTCCTAATCCTCATTCATGACCATGTTGAGCCTCTGGTCATACTTGGCTAAGCTGAGGTTTCACACAAGCCTCCTTTCATGCATTCACTGAAAAAAAAAGATTGGAGAGAAAAAAAAGGGAGAAAATTTAGTCAGGTAGTAATAATTAGTTGCTCTCATTGTTTATTATTAGAATCTGTTCCAGCTGCTGTGATTTTAAACAGACCGCAACCCAGAGGAAAATTTTCCTGGTTACAAAAGGAAGCTAAGATATTACAGAAATGGGCCCCACACGCATTTGAGTCTCAGAAGTAGCAAGCAGAGGCAGCGATAACATATATCTTCACTTTCTGTTGTTGTGTATAAAAATTAGTTGTAACTGAGAGCTTTCTAGTTACAGCCCTGCCGAGCTTTCAACAGTGTTAACCACTGAGCCACCGTGTCTTTCAGCAGGAAAATGCCAAAACATTATCCAGCAGCAGGGCTCCGTAGCAAGAGTCCAGTTGCATCCAGACTTTTCAACAACTGAAAGGATTTAGAGCATTATGACCACAAAGACATGACAATTATTGAGCTTGACTTTAAAATTACATCGACTGGTTCCCAAAGAGTGCCCCAAAAATGTAATAGCTGTTAAAGACTAAAAACTGCTGAATATGAAAATTGTCTGAATTTTCCACTTTTATGACCGCTGGGATAGATTCTTAACCCCCCACCCGTGACGCAGAGAAGGTGGAGATATATGAATGCAGGAATGGATGGATGGAAATATAAGATTTAACTTGCTTGTTCCACAGCGATAGATGTCCCTGACTCTACTTAGCATTTATTCTGATTTTATGACTGGGTGATAACGCTATATTGTATGACAAAAACATGGAAAAACAAAAATGGACCTCACATCGTGACTCACCGGAAGACGTGTCTGTTATTTCTTCCCATTCCTCTCCCTTTCTGTCTGTGCTTTGGCTTGTTGTGAATAGTTAGATACTATCTGAAATCCCCTTCTCCTACACAGTTATGATATCAGAACTGGGGAGGAAAGTATTGCAAGCAAAACCATTTGAATCTTTTCCACTAGTATTCAGCTCTGTCTATGATGACTTTTTGTCTTATTCTCAAGGGCTTTCTTTCAAAACAGAAACTTTTTTGCCTTCACATGTGGTTGAGCGGTAATAGTTTCAAAGGTTTCCCTTTCTTTAAGGGAACTCAAGTAATTACCTCACAGCACAGTTGCATAATCTCGTTTTAAATGTGGTTTAATCAATCCTTTATGTACCTTTAGATCATCGCTTTGGCTTGATAATCTGTTGCACAATGTCTTCTTTGTAGGCTAGAAAAACACAGTAGAGACAGCTCAAATCCTTCCAAATCTGTCATGTGACTTTGCTGTTTGTATCCCACAATCTCTCCTTAGAAAGAGGCTTCCCACTGACTTTTATCACTTTAGCAAGTTGAGCATGAGAACTTGACAAAAGCAGTCTTTTCACCAAAGTCGCTGCTGCTTCCCCCAATCTACATTCACCATCGCATGCGCACACACATTTGTAGAGCAGGTTTCGTGCTGTCCGGCATCGACAAAAGCCCTATTTTAGGCCACCGCCCTCCCTCTCTCCCTTCCTCCCTCCACCTTTCTTTCATAACCAGGTTACCGAGCTAATCATCTTTAACAGCATCCTATTATTAGCAGCGGTCCGCGTCATTCGAGACGTCTGGGGAGCCTCTCGCTCCTGTCATCAGGGCCTGTCGTCCATAATCGCTCGCTGCAGGCTGCCAGAACGAACGAGTCGCAGCCATCGCCGTGTTGCAGATGGGATACCCAGATGGCCTCGCCGAGCGCCACCCTCTCTCCCTGAGCCCCCCTTCCTCGGTGCATGGACCGTACCACGGGATTAGGCTCAGCATGTGGCGCCAGAAGAGAGGCAAGGCGAGTGAAGATGCTTGGCATAGATGCCACCTCGACGTCGCCGTGCCGGAGCATTGCGTAAATGGAGTTCTCTGGAGAGACTGGGTGTTAATGGGTTTGGCAGCGGGGGTGAAGCGCCGCTCAAATTACGCAAATGTCACCATCAAGTGGAGCCACACATACAGTAGATGCCAGCTCTTAGAAACACTTGTTAAGATAACCTCAAAAGAAGATTTTCCTTTTATTTAAGGGGAAAATGTGTGTATTTGTAATTTATTGCCACCTAACATTTAATATTGAGAAGTTAATGGCAATAAATTTATTTCTAAGAAGGGAGGAAATGGTGGGAGTAGTGTAGTTCCACTCGTGCTTTCTTCTTCCGTTTTCACCCGTCTTCCTCCCCCTCTTCCTTATCTGAGCAAGAAGCTGCTATTTTATTTCTCACCAGATGCAATTAGAGCCTCTTAAAGCCCTTTCACACACTTGCTGGTGACTCATTTCTTTTTGTGTGTGTGTTTCTGTGTGTGTGCGTGTGCGTGCATGCATGTCAGGGTGTGTGAGTGATCTCTGTCTAACTATTTTCTCTCTGCTTTTGTTTTCCCGTCCACCTTTCCCACTGTATTCTCAAACTGTCTGAAGCGGCTCCAGCTGCTCTTTCAGCCGCCACATGTGCGACCAGACTTTGAACCTGCCAGCATAAAAACCCCGCAGTCATGACACACACGCACACACGCACGCACACAGTTTTCTGCCAGACGTGACTCAGTGTGCACACATCCCAGTGTTACCACATCTGTCCCAGCAGCTGTGAGCGTTTGTGCGTGTGTGTTTGTGTGGTTTCACTAACACCTGGAGAGCAAAACAAAGCAACCTGAGACACAGACACTGGTTCCTGTGACGTTTAGAGCTCAGTGCATCAGTGAGGCCAATTCCTTTATGCATCAGTATATTAGAAATGTCACTCAAGCTGCATATGGGGAAGCTCCCGTGCTTCAAATTGTGTATTGCATGTATACTAAATGAGGCCAAGGAGAAGACTTTGCGCTTTCTAGCTGTTCTGGCTACAAATAATAATATGATTACTGACAATAGCCTGAATAAGACAACAGCATGAGTAATCCTGCATGATTCAGTGATACTTTCTCCATTTATCCTGTTTACACGGCATACAGTGCAAGGTTAGCGCTTCACTTCATGTTGTGACTAAAAGCAGGCTGTTAATGCCGCTCAAGTTCTCCGCATATGTTGTGACACTCACTCCAATTAACAGGATAATCAAGTTTTACATACCATAATTAGCAAAAGGTTTTGTGTTGCTGTGCCTAATTGCAGTCATGCGCTCAGTGTGCATGTGAGCTTCTGGGGAGCACTGAGACAAAATGTGACAGGAGAAGGAGTGAGTTGTTAAAAAGAGTAGGAGGGATAAGAATTTAATGTGTTAGAATGTAAAGAAGTAAGTTTAAATATGGAGGCTTTCAAGATGGTTTGTACAGTTTTGCAAAGAAAATGACATTTTTGAGGAACACCTTTTGGGTAAGAGAAGAGGCACATTAAAAGGGTTATTTCATTGGGTTAAAAATGAACACAATTTAAATTAAAACCATATACTGTATACAAAAGATGTTGGATATTGCCGCCCGTTGTTGTCACCCATTGAGCATTTTCGTCACTGCCGTCGTGGATTTTTGCCACCACATGTGTCTTGGATCTGACTGAGAAACCAAGGAATAATGCATGCTTGTAAATCACAAAGTAGCCATGTTCAACCCTGTTTTATCTTTTTTTCGTCTACACTGGATCAAGATTTACAAAATTAACAACATGTTGTATTCTATAAGACATGAAATTATTAATTAAGACCACAAAATCATCTCTATAATGTTTACTCAGATAATAAATCAGGTGGGAATTAGGACCATTCTTTCAAAGACTTTCAAACAATTGGGATTTTTTTGTAACCACAGGAATCGCCCCCTACTGGCCATTAGAATAAATGCAGGTTTAAGGCACATCCGCGCTGCTTTTCAGACCTAGAAGCTTATTTTTTTTTCCAAACGCACTGGTCTTCCGTAAATGCTGTGAATTCACACTGACCACTGTGAAAGGAACATTCAGCCCAAATGAGCTGTGGCTGGACTTTTCAGAGCCACAAGTTATTTCCATCGTGTAAGTAGAATCTATGGTTAAAACACAAGTTCAAAGTAAATTTCATGAATACATTTTTTTATACTGAACCATAAAATTTTGAACAGTGCAAATTTTTACCTTTTTACTGCTTTGAAGCATGTGAGGTATGAACAAAAAGCTAGCTGATTTAAAGTGACTGACCCCCCCATTCAAGATCACCTTCTCTGGCTTGTCCAGGCAGCTTCCACACCATGGATCCTTTTTTACCATGGGCACAGAACTCATGAACTCCTGTTTCAAATTTACCCAAATTTCACTCGTGTGGAAAGCTAGTGGTGGGCTTAAAGAGTCCACAGATCCCAAGCCTAAAGGCACGGCATGAGAAGAGAAGAAACAGAACATTTTTCCTGGGCTTGTGCCCTGTGAATTCATCACCAGGGTTGGGACTGTCAACATGTGGTTCTACTGTAACATGAGGTGTCTGAAAAGAGATTTTCAGTTTGTTGTTAGGCATCACTTTTACATAATCCTTATATCAGTAATAACCAAAAGAAATCTATTTAAAATGTTTCTGCTGACAGATGACAAGCTGCTTTCTATAACGCAAAATGGAGGCGCAAATCTCGCACTTATCTTGGATCCCAAATTCATGGAAGCTGAGGTGCAATTGAGTTGAGAGAGAGAGCGAGAAAAGAGAGGAGTCGCAAAGAGCCCGGTGTCTCTTATCTGTGACATGGCCTTGGCTCACATGGGCATATTTGCAGTACAGTATGAGTGAGTTGAAAAAGAGACGGAGACATTATTTCCACTTTTACTCGCGAGCAGCCCAGCATCCACCTCAAAGCGCCAGGTGGCCAAAGCCCTGCGCAAACCCACGCAGCTGCTCTCTTATGTGCCCACGCAAACACACACAGAAGCAGCAACTAGGCACACACTTTAGCACAACAGACTTTGATGTCACCAACGCTGAACATATATTTCCCTCAGACGCACACGCTTGCATGAGGCTTTATTTTGTACACAGAGATATCGGAATTAATCGCTTCGTCAAGCTGGGCTTATCCTCGCACATACACAGAAATCACGGTATTAGATGCATTAATGCTCCTCGCTCATGAATATGCATCAGACAGTGATGTGCAACACGTACAGAGGATTACTCCTGACAAAAACACTCTCGCTCTCTCCCTCGCTTGTGCTCCTTAACACACTCAAAGGGTCACAACTCATCTCACCCACACACTGACACACATATGTGGGGTTCAATGTGTATCTCGTGCTGAATCTATTTCATACATACATTGCTGGAACTGCAGTTAAGGGTGTAACATGAAATGCTACAGGATATAAGGTCTTTTCACTAGGGTTTCTTTTTTCTTTTCTTTTTTTCGGGGAATGCTAATTTAATTGTTTAAAAGGTGTCTTTTTATAGAAGCTGATCCACTTGAGCTTTGCTTGTGAGAGCAATCCCCAGCGGTAGCCTGCTAGCCTTTGTTCCCATTGAAAGTTTAATTAAGGCATTGCCAGATCTTAGCAGTGAGGCTCAGAAATGGAAAAGAAACACCACACAATTGCAAAATGTGTCACAGAAGGACTTTATGAAAAACCGTATCGTTCTGAAAGCAGGCTGACAGCTATAACAGGGTCTATTATGAAGAACAATTATATTTTTCTGCCTTGTTAATGATTGCATGTTATCCTGGAGATGTTGACGTTTGACACTGAGGTCAATAACATGGATCGCTGCATGGTTTCTTGTTGCAGTGAAGACAATATTCAACCCAGCGCCGGCCATTCCTGACTTGGATCCAGATTTCTACAGAGTCTCCGACGTGTTTTGCTGTAATGAGTCTGAGGTGATGAATCACACACACGCACACAAACACACACACACACACACACAGCTCACAGTATTTATCACAGCATTTATGCTTCCTCACACAATAATTCTGCCTTCCTCACTCATCCACACACTCACGTCTGCAAGGCCAAGAGGAAGCTGAAACTAGTCATAAACAACAAAACAGAGCATACTGAATTGACCAGCTTTCTTTTCCTCTACTGCACATTTGCATTTGATAGGTTTTTTTTTCTTGGATTAAAATTAACTTTGGTGGCTGAGTATACATGCGCGTAGCCAAGATTGTACAGTTAGGACAATTATTTTACTCATCTATAAATGTTTTGGCATTTTTGAATTCTTGATAAACACAAATTTCTATCATATTTGGCTAAATTATACACCAATCAACAAAAGCTGCTTTTTTTTTTTTTTAAGTTGACAGTTGGTAAAAATTGGGGCAGCATGGTTCTTAGCATTGTTGCCTCACAGCAAGAAGGTCCTGGGTTTGAATCCACCAGCTGACACGAGTCTTTCTGTGTTGACTTTGAATGTTCTCCCCGTGTCTGCGTGGGTTCTCCCACAGTCCACAGACATGCAGTTGGTTATGTTAATTGGTTGATCTAAATTGCCCAAAAGTGCGAACCACTGTCTGTGTTAGCCCTCCGACAGACTCACCACCTGTCCAGGGTGTACCCGCCTCATGCCCTATGGCAGCTCTGGATGCGCTGGATGAACAGAAGAAAATGGATGGATGGATTTTAAGCATCCATTTTGCCCACTGTAACATTGATAATAGAGTAGATTGTTTATAACTCTAGACTGTGTATAATAAGGATCTAGTCAATGGGTTCTACATTTTAAAGCTTCGGTGTTAGCATTTTATCCAAAGCCATGTTGATTTTTTGGAACGAAAAGTGACTATGTTTGGTCAAAATGGTGGAGCATAAAGTGATAAATAACACTAATCCTAATTGGCTTGGTTAACAAATAAACCACTAGGACTTTCCTCAAAACCCCCCCCAAAACAACCAAACAAACAACCAAAAAGTAGATCAAGTTCTTGAACAGTCTGTTTTCCCTTTATTTATTTAAAAGGGACAGTGCAGTTAAACATAGTTCAGGTGCAAGACATGAGACTGATGTACCGCACATAGGTTTATAGCTACTGCTAATTTTCAACAATTGTCCCTTGTTGGGCTTACAATCTAAATAAATACATATTACAATAAAACATACATTTTCATAAAACCAAATTACATCATAAATACAATTACAATTGATAGACAATAAATTAAAATAAAATTAAAATCATCAGATAAAATGACTACAACTTTGGTTTCCCTTTAACCAAACTTTAACCTTCAATGTAAAGGATCTAATGTCTGTGATCAGTTTGATATCGGTTGGAAGTGTGTTCCACAGATGGCAAGCCTTTATAGAAAAAGCTGACTGAC